AGATTTATTTATTTTTAAAGATTTATTTATTTTACTTGAAAGTCAGAGAGAAGAGGCAGAGAGAGGGAAAGAGAGAAAGAGAGAGAGAGGTCTTCCATCCGATGGTTCACTCCCCAGTTGGCCGCAATGGCCAGAGCTGCGCCGATCCGAAGCTAGGAGCGAAAAGCTTCCTCCGGGTCTCCCACGTGGGTGCAGAGGCCCAAAGGCTTGGGCCATCTTCTACTGCTTTCCCAGCCCATAGCAGAGAGCTGGATGGGAAGTGGAGCAGCTGGGTCTCAAACCGGCGCCCATATGGGATGCCAGTGCTTCAGGCCAAGGTGTTAACCCATTGCGCCATAGTGCCGGCCCCAGATTTATTTATTTATAAGGCAGACAGAGAAAGAGACAGACAGACAATCTTCCATCTGCTGATTCACTCTGCAAGTGGTCTCAATGGGGGGGGCTAGGCTAGGCCAAAGCCAGGAGCTTCTTCCGGGCCTCCCATGTTGCTGCAGGGGCCCAAACACTTGGGCCATCTTCTGCTGCTTTCTCAGAAGAATTCCCAGGGAGCTGGATTGGAAGTGGGACAGCTGGGACTGGAACCAGTGCCCATATGGGATGTTGGCACCACAGTCAGCGGCTTTACCCACTAAACCACAGTGTTGACCCCCTGGAGTTTCCCTTTTTCTAAGGCTGAAGAGTATTTTATTGTGTGTCTGATTTCATTGTGTGTCCATGCCATATTTTGCTTACTAACTTATCTGTCATTGGACATTGAGGTTTCTTGCATATCTTGGTTATTTTGAGTAATGCTGCCATGAACACAGATGTGCAGATATCTCATTCAGAGCATGATTTCCTTTGGATACATTCTCAGAACCGGGACTGTGAGTTCCTCTGGTAGTTTATTTATAATTTTTTTGAGGTACCTCCATACTGCTTCCCATAATGGCTGTATCAGCTTTCGTTCCTACTAAGGAAATCCATGCATGGTTTTTTCATAATAAATGTTTCCCATGACCTTGTTGAACTTCCCTTGTGTGGAGTTAGGGCTGTAGAGTGCCTTTTAACTGACCATACATTTTGATATGTTGAGTTTTTAAAATTAAAATACTTGATAGTTTTCACTGCAATTTTTGAGTCATAACTTCGTATGTGTAAAAAAATATTTCTAGGAGGAATTTCTCTGGGATTTTATTTCTAATTTCATTGCAGTCATAGAGCATGTTCATTTAATCTTTTGAAACTTGTTGACACTTGCTTTTGGCTCTGCATGTAGTAAATTTTGTAGATATTCCTTAAACACCTGAATGCACAGTTGGCTGCTATGTTGAGTGTTTAGCATATTCACTTATCAATTATTTTTTCAAATCTTCTATGTACTTGTAATTTGCTTATTTTATCTTACTGAGAAGGATATGTTAAAATCTTCCACAATGGTTGTAAATTTTTCCTCCTACTTCTGTCAAATTTTGACTTGGGCATGTATGAGACTCTATTATTAGGTACATACAAATTTAGAAGTGCCATATATTCTTGATAGATTGAAATTTACTATTATGACATGTTCATCTTTTTCTCTTGTAACACTTTTTGATTTAAAGTCTACTTTTTTTTGAAATTAGTATAGCTACACCAGATTTCTTTGGGCATATGTTCCACTGGGTATACCTTACCCATTCTTTTGACTTTTTTAATCCTTAGGTTTAGGATTACAAAACATAATGCAGTTTCTTTCATAGGGAGGATATTGCATGTGTGTGTTCTGTTGTGACAATCTTTGTGTTTTAATTATACTCTTTATTCTATTTATATTTAATATAATTACAGATTTATTTGGGTTTAAATATACCACCTGATTAATGGCTTCCTATTTAATTTGTTGCTCATTATTTCTCTCTTTTCTTCTTTGAATTCTGCTTGTCTTCTGCATGAGCTTGTTAAATGTAAAGAGTGCAATCTGGATCTTTGTCTTAAGTCTACTAAAGTTTGTGCTGTAGCACTTCATGGATAAGACAGTGGCCTAATGACACTTTTAATGATTTAAAGTGATGGATTTAAAGTGATGAGCATGTCATAGTAAGTTGTATGTTACTGCAAATGTAATAATTTTTGCTCTACAAACCTACACATTGAAGTATCAATTGCTTTTATGGCATTTAAATTTCAGAATATCTATTCAGGTTTTTTTTGTTTCCTGTACCCTGGCAGTATTCTCCATCTGGTCTTTCAGTTCCTTGAATGTATTTATCAAAGTTACTTTAATCACTATATCTGATCATTTCATTATGTGATTTCCTGTACATTTGTTTCTGGTTTTTCTCCCTCTATCTTTTGGTGAAGACTTTGTTTTTGGTATGCCTCACTGCTTTGTGGGTTTTTTTTTTTTTTTAGAATTTATTTATTTGAAAGGCAGAGTTGGTTGGGGGTGGGGAGAAAAAGGTCTTCCGTCTGTTGGTTCACTCCCCAGATAGCTGCAACAGCCAGAGCTGGGCTGATGAGAAGCCAGGAGCTTTTTCTGCATGTCAGTGCAGGAGTCCAAGGACTTGGACTATCTTTTACTGCTTTCCCAGGCCATAGAAGAGAGCTGGATTAGAAGAGGAGCAGCCAGGACTCGAACTGGTGCCTGTATGGGATGCTGGCACTGCTGATGGCAGTTTACCCACTACGCCACAGTGCCGGTCTCATGCCTCACTATTTTTAAAATTTTAAAAAATGTATTTGAGAGAGACAGTTTTCAACATGCAATAGCCTGGTTTGGACCAGGGCCAGAGCCAGGACCCAGGACCTCATTATATAACCTGTGCCTTCTTTGCTTTCTGGGGTTAGCAGGATGCTGGAGTTGACAGCCAGAGCCAGGAATTGAACCTAAACACCCTGATGTGGGTTCTGGGTGCTGTGCCCACTAGGCTAAATGCTCATTTTGCCTAGTTTTTTTTTTCTGCATGTCAGAGATTTTGAGTATTTGAAGTCATTTCAGTGGCAATTGGAGACTCTGGATGATGGTATCTTTGTCTGGAGTATATAGTATTTTTTTAAAAAATTAATTTATTTATTTGAAAGGCCAAATGATGGAGAAACAGAGAAAGAAATACATCCTATTAAATGGTTCACTCTGCAAATGCTGGCAACAGCCGGAGAGGAGCCAGGACAAAAGTTGGAATAAAGAGTCTGGGTTTCTTTCTTGGGTGGCAGGAATCTAAGTACTTGGGTCGTTACCTGCTGCCTCCCAGACACATGAGCAGAGAGCTGGATTGCCACTGAGGCAAGACTCTGTTCCAAGCACCACTATATAAGAAGTGACATCCATAGTAGTGGCTTTACACACTGTATCACCACTCTTGTCCCAGAATACAGTATTTTCTTGTGTCTGGCAACTAGATAGGTAATGATAAAAACTTGAGGTTCTTTGCCTTGAAGTGGAAATTGTTAAGAGACCACCTTGCAACTCAGAGGATGTTTACTGGGGGAGCAGGCAGGGTGGCATATGCTCAAACACAAGAGAGAGAGTGGCCAGAAGAGGTGCTGCTGGCTGAGTGAGTGAGTGGAGTTGGGTAGGGGTTTTCACCTGGTGGGGTGGCATGGCAGTGTCCCCTCTGCACCTGGCCTGGCATTCTGGCTCCTCCCCTGGTACCCGTGGCACTTCAGCTGGCCTATAGCCCTTCTGTTGTGCACAAGGCCATTTCTGTCTTTACACACAGCATGCTCAAAATAGCGTTGGCACAGCCCCGCCAGGAAGGTTATATATTGGTCATATTGGGCTATTCTGGGCTGGTGTGCAGGTGGGGGATGCCCTGATGAGGCAGCAGAGGCAGTCTTCTGTGGTTAGGGTGTGAATGCTTCTTGCTCCTGATTGGTTTGGAGTTTGATGATTGTCATGTCTGACCGGCTTGATTTTGAAGTCGTATTACTGTCCTGTCTTAGTAGGAGCAGATCACTGTAGTGGAGTCAGAAATTAAAAGGCTCTCTCCCTTGGTTCACCTTAAGCTCAAATTTGTCTTTGTCCCATTGTGAATCTGCTAAAAACTGAGCCCATATTCTCAGCTCTCAACCACTACTTTGGAACTTGAATATGCCGTGAGGAGAAAAAGCTGCCAGATTGAGGCCTCTCAGCTTTTCCAGATCTTGTCCACCAGAATTCTCAGTCATGATGTTTCTCTGATGCCTTCAAATGGGGTTTATGTGAGCGTGTATGTATGCATGCTCGTGCGTGTGTACACTGCTGTTTGCCTGGCTTCTCTAATTGTTCTCAGTAGGAGGGTGGTGATGAGAATCCTGGGCTACCATTTGTAAAAAAAGAGCCAGAGGCATGTGTCAGAGTGGAGCGCAAGTCTTTGTTTTTTGTTTTGCTTTTTAAAGATTTATTTATTTATTTGAAAGAGTTACACAGAGGAGGAGAGGCAGTGAGAGAGGTCTTATGTCTGCTGGTTCACTCCCCAATTGGCCACAATGATTAGAACTGTGCTGATCCAAAGCCAGAAGCTTCTTCTGGTCTCCTATGTGGGTGCAGAGGCCCAAGGACTTGGGCCATCTTCCACTGCTTTCCCAGGTCATAGCAGAGAGCTGGATTGAAAGTGGAGCAGCTGGGACCTGAACTGGCACCCATATGGGATGCCAGCACTGCAGGCAGCAACTTTACCTGCTACACAACAGCGCTGGCCCCAAGTCTTTGTCTTTAGCATGGGGTCTGTTGATTACTTACGGTGAAATGGCCAGGCATACCGGGGACTCTATTCATCACTCTGCTTTCATCTTTGGACCCTCTGTGACCTGAGGTCAAATTGTCCCAAACTCACACGGTTGACATTCTCATCCAGAGGGTGTTTGGTAAGGAGGGCTGTCCTGTGCGTTGTAAGATGCTTTATAGCATCCCTGGTTGTTTTTGTACTCCACAACTGTGGCCACTGGATATGTCCACTGGAGAATGCAAGTGGTGCTCAGAAAAGATCTCTCTCCATGACTTAGGTTGTTGATGTGCTGATTTTTAATACTGACTTTTTTTTTTTTTTTTTACACCATAGGGTTTGAAACTGCCAAGTCTTTTGCCCTCCATGGTGCACATGTGATCCTGGCCTGCAGGAATATGGCAAGAGCCAGCGAGGCGGTGTCACGCATTTTAGAAGAATGGGTAAGCACTTGACTGGGTTTTTTTCTTCTTTTGATTGTCAAATACACGCCAGGCTAAACACATGGAGGTTTTAGTGCAGCGCATAAAGTTTATTGCTCTTGGAATAACGTCTTTATTTTTAAAGTCATCTTTGCTTTGTTTACTTTATGAATGAAAGGATGAGCAAGCCTGTTATTATGCACGCATTTGTTTATAGTTCGTTGTCAATGTCATCTGCTTTATTAGTCAGTGGTTTGAAAATGTTTACTCATTTAACTCATTTACTAAGAAAATAAGACGTGGTTAACGCCCCTGAATGCAATGAGGAGCTTGTTATGCTTATGGGTTTTAAGATTAGAAAGGAGTAGGCTTTAACTCTTCCTTGGGTTTCTTGCCTCTGCGTCTCTGTAGATGTCGGTGTCAGTATCTCTGAGTGTGCAGAGTTCTGGGGGACAGGGGTTGCCGTGCTTGTGGGACTAAGAACGAACCATCAAACAAAAGCTCCCTGCTCTCCTGGGCTTACTAGGCAGGTAGGAGAAACAGACCATAGAGGCATTATCTGTTAACATTGAACATGATGTTAGGTGGGTCTGATTAAAGTGAAAGGTGACTCAGCAGGGACTCTAACATTGTGACATTTGATCCGAGACCTGAATGAAGTAGAGATGAGCCACAAACGTCAGGGGAAACACTTTTTTGGTAGGAGTAGCATGTGTGGAAACATGGAGGTATCTCTTGGGGTTGAGGGGCAGTGAAGAAGATGTTAGAAGGTTTGAGCTCGAGAGTGACAGGAACTGATGGATTGTTAGAACGTGGTCATTGGGTGTCAGCATCAAGTACAGGCTGCATTCATGCAGGCTTCTGTGAGGTGTGCCTCTGTGATAGGCACTCCGTCTCCTGTTGAGGACAGGCAGACACTGCCACTGTATGTGTGGAGCTTGCAGCCGGTGGTGGAAGATGAGAGGCACCCAGGAAGCATGAAACTCGTTGTAAGTGGGGAACGGCGGTAGCAGGTTCAGTGGAACAGTCCCGAGGAAGACAAGGTTGAACTGAGATCTTGAGAAAGACCTGGAGTGTGGATGAAGGCCAGAGGGGGTGAGGGAAGGGCAGGTGTGGTGGCCCTGGGAGGAGGAGGTGGGGGACAGAGCAGTGTGGCCAGGGCAGAGTGTGAGGAAGCTCGGATAACCCTTGCCATGCTGTCTTCATTTGCTTACTGCTGTGAGTTTTTTTCCATTTAAAGAAATAAAGCATGGTTTGTTTAAGAACATTTCTGGTTTTTGGGACTGGAAAGTTAAGAAAGGAGAGAAAAGGACGATTTATTTTTGAGTTTTCAATATGTTTTGGTGAAATATTATAAATTTAAGTATTTAAATGTAAATTTCAAATGATTGGAGTCATCATATTTGGTTAGGTCTTTATTTTTTAAATTTATTCCAGAGACTTACAGAGAGGTGTGGGGGCAGGGGGAGAGAGGGAGGGAGGAAGGGAGAAACGCCCAGTTGCTGGTTTGCTCCCTAAATGACCACAATAGACAGAGCTGGGAATTCAATTCAGATTGCCCACATAGGAGACAGAAACCCAGTTAGTTGAGCCATCAGTGCGGGCCTCTTGGGTCTGCATTATTAGGTAGCTGGAATTGGGAGTCAGAGCTAGCCAGGAATCAAACACAGGTACACTGACAAGGGATGCTGGTATCTTAACTAGTATCTTAACTTCTGGGTCCAATGCCTGCTGCTGGGTTAATTTTTTTATTTAAAAAATTAAACTATTTCTGATTCTATACTTGAAAAATCAATTCTTTTAGGTGGAATAGTAGTAGTTTTTAGAGATGTATAAAGAAGAAAAATGCTAATGCATGCATATGATTTGATTGTTCATATACAATGAAAAGGACAAAAGTAAAATGCGGAAGTTCTTCCTTGTCCTTTTCTTGAAAGGTAAACACTGTTAACCATTGATTGTGTTTTCTTCCAGGAAAGGCTGTATATATAGCAAACCCATAGTTTTCTGTAGTTTTTTTAAATGTAATTTTATAGGAGAGTTTTCCTTAATGGTGCACATAGATCAACTCCATCATTCTTAACTGCTGCATGATATTCCACTGTGTGCTTATGCCATAAGTTGCTTGACCAGCCTCCCTTTTGATGGTTATGTAGGGTGTTTGCATTGTCTTGCTATTCCAAGCAATGTTGTTACATTGCTTGTTACATGGATTCATCTTTCTTGCATCAGTCTTTCATGAGTTTTGTTGAAAATTGGGTCAGACTAAGGTGTATGGCACATTGCTGTTGCACAGATTTGTATGTGTATTTATGAGTGAATCTTAGCAGTGGATTCTTGATTCAAAGATGAATGCATTTAAAAATTGAGTAACAGTTTCCCAGTTGCTGCTCCAGTTTCTCTTACTGTTGACATAATAGATGGGTACCTGTTGTCTAGCAACAAGAAATGTCAGCCTTGTAAAAGTTTGCCCATTTGTTGTTAGGATTTTAACTGGAAAGCCAAATTCCATGGCTCTAAGATGTTGTAGTGACCATAGTGTGCAATGACATTAATAAGGAACCAAGTCCTGGGAGATAATGCTGAGACATCCTGCTTTTTCTTCTTTAAGTTTCTTCTCTTTCCTTAGAACATGACACATAAGTGAGCAGACTGATCTGCGTTTGTCTTGTTAGAACTATTGCTTGATACATAAAGGCAGGAGTTCCTGGATATGCCCTAATTATTTGTGGGGTCTTGAGTAAGTCTCTTAATTTGTGGTTTGGAACCTGCTTGTTTGCTTGTGAAGAAGATTGAATGGGTGGACCTAAAAAACTCAACATCAGGCTCTCTTTATTGTATTATAACCATAGTTGGGTCCATTAGTACAGTCAGCCTATGGGTTCTGAATTATGGGTTCAACCAGTTGCATGTTGAAAATGTGCAGAAAACCTGCATCTAAATTGGACGAGTATAGACTTTATTCATTATTCCCTAAATAGTACGGTATATCAGTTATTTGAATAGCATTTACATTGTATTAGGTATCATAACTAATCTAAAGATGATTTGAAGCGTACAGGAGGTTATGCATAGGTTATGTGCAAATTGTGTATCATTTTGTGTGAGGGACTTAAGCATCTGCAGATTTTGGTATTCCTGGGGATCCTGGAACCAGTCCCCCTCAGATACTGAGGAGCCAGTGATAACCAGAGAAAGAGTCATCCAAAAACATTGAGTGTCAGGGACATGGGAAAGTGAAACAGAAACACACACACACACACACACACACTGTTTCATACATTTAAATTGGATTTTATAGGTTATGGACTGAAAAATTCCAACCCCTCCATCATCTCATCTCTTCCCTGTTCTCTTGTATGCCATGGTACTGTGTCCCTCATTCCCTTGGATCATGTTATGAATGTGATGACTTGAAATCTGCACCAACAGCTGTCAGTACTGCTTCCTGTCACTGCACTATTGTTATAATTCAGAGTCTCAGATCCCAGGGATGTGCTTCGGTGACCTACATCTGGCTTGGTCCCCACTTTTCTACCCTTGGTATTTACTGGTATGGTTTCCTCAGGCCTTCAGCTATCTTCCATCTTTACACAGGGATTTTAACTGGCGTATCATTAAATACTAGCTTCTTGTGTTTTTCAAGGTCAATTTAATCAACTCCAGTTTTTCAGCTGCTAGCCGGCCTGAGCATCCTCATACTTTATCTGGGATGAACCACACTGGCGTCTGTGCAGGAAAGGTACTGTGACATATTGGCACCTCACAGGAGATGCTCAAACGATCCAAAGTTTTTGGTTGCGCAAAAGCCCATTCAGGAGTCTTTGGGCCATTTGGCTCCACCTTGGTTCTTAAGTGCCAAGGCTCTGCAGGCATTCCCAGCTCCAGTCCTGGGGATAGAGTCCGTTCCTCCTTACTCAACTTGTTCTTCCCTGCCTGGTCTTCCTCTTCCTGCCCTTGCACATTCCAGGATCACTGTGTTCCAGAACACTCATGTCTACCTCTTTGCCAGCAGAATGCTTTTCCCATAACTCACAATGGGGCAGCTAGCAACCTCCATTTGTCAAATCCCTTTCATGTGCTTTGCTCTGGCAAAATATCCTTTATTCTGGAGGATGCAAAACCCTGATTGTCTGCATTTTATTGAAGTCAAGGGACAGTTCAGAACAGAGAAGGGACTTGCCTAGCTGGCGAGCTCAGGGTCAGGCTCCTAGCTTGGTGCTTCTGACTGGCATGCCTGAAGTATGTCTCCTGTACTCCATGGTTGGGTTTCCCGCCACATTGAGTACTACGGGTGTGCATTACCTTTCAGATTTTGCCTTCAAACTCTTGTAATATATTTGAGTGATGAATCAGCAGTGCTCATATTTGTTGGAGGAAACAATTTTGATCTTTCTTGTTTTGGCCCTTTACTTTCTAGATATTGATAGGAATCGCAGACCACTGTTAATAAAGTATAGCCTAAGTGAAAACACATTTCATATAGAAGTATATTAAGAACCTATACATAATTACTACACTAATAGTTTCATGGGAAAAAGCCCTCTTGCTGAGAAGTTTGGGATATTCCAAAGTTAGAAATGAGAGAAATGAAAACAATTAAAATAGGTTAACATGGACAGTATGGAAGTAAACTACTTTCTTAAGAGGCCAATCCATTTAGCTTAATTAAAAAATGTGGGGAACTGGTATTTAGTGTAACCGTTAAAATGCCACTTAGGATGTGCCACATTCCATACCAGAGTGCCTGGGTTCAAGTCCTGGCTCTTCTTCTGATTTCATCTTCCTGCTAATGTGTACTCTGGGGGGCAGCAGGTGATGGCTCAAGTACTTGAGTCTCTGCCACCCATGTGCGAGACCCAGATCGAGTTTCCAGCTCCTGACTGTGGCCTGGGCCAGCTTCAGCCATTGGAGGCATTTGAGGAGTGAACCAGTGGATGGAAGATTGTCTCTCTCTCCTTCTCCAGCACCCCCTTTCAAATAAATGAAAGTAATTTTTTTTTTTTTGACAGCCAGAGTGA